CCATGTCTGTGGGTGACTTCGCCAGGTCATCAGCCAGTGTAGGTTGTAAATTAATGTTATACATAGGTTACCTAAACGAAAGGTGTTAAGATCTGCTCGGACCTAAACATAGTATGAGTTCACACATGAATGCCGTATCCTATGTCTATGTTAATAAGCCTTGTTCATATTAAACGTGGCAGTGATTGGACAGGTTGGCCATACATGGCGACTAAACATATACTGTGGCGAAACCAACCTCGCCACTGTGAACTGGAGAAGCCTGGTTGCTCGCCTGCTCCCTTTGGACTATGGCCCTGCAGGTTAAACTGTTTATTTCCCCTGCAGAAAGGCTTATTTGTGTGATCTGAGTGCCATTCATCTAATAATGTGCACTCAGATCCCAGCTATCTGGGGATATGTGAAATGTCTGTGTGTTATGTGTAAATGTGACTTTATGTATTTTAAAGTGTTTTGTGTCTTTTTGCAACCATGTGCTTAATGGAGTCTTGTGTCTATCCTGGGAGATAATTGAATTACTCTCCAGGATAGAAGACTCTGAAACTGGTTTGGGCCAGAAAGCCATGCTTCATTTAGTCACAAAGGACTTTTTACTAACTTTTGAACCCCTGGTCTGATTCATGCCATTTTTTAATATGTTGTTCCCCTGAATGGATTGATTGTGAATATGTAATTTTATGTGAATGTGATGTATGGTTTTAGAGTTATGAAAGTTGGGTAGAAAGTATGTTTTAACTGTATGTGTAATTGAGTTTCCTCTCAGGATAAGGGGAGGGAATATGTGGGATGTAACTGTGATGTGATTGGTGGTTTTGTAACGCCCTGTGGGCTGTACTATGTTTGTGGATTGGGAATAAAAGAGACTGTATGTGACAGTACAGAGAGTTCCTGTTTTAACCCTCAAAGTGAAGTGTCGTCTCATTATTGGGGGAAGGATTTATTGTATGCTTTTCCAGTTTGACTGCTGGGAGAGTAAACCTATTCGTATGGTTCCTATTCAACTGTCTACAGCATTCATATGCTTGAGAGGATTCATATGCTTCTCCGGTTCGGTGGTTGTGGTGTCTGCTGCAGTGCTTGGAGTCCTCAGGAGGCGCTAGGAGCATCCTTTAACGGAGGTACCCAGTCGGGGTGCCAGGCGATCCGTTACATTGGTGGCAGCGGTGGGATGGCGTCCTAGTGCGAGGTAAAGCAGCTCAGAGACACAGTTCGTTTGGATTTACAAATTGAGGGCAACGCTAGCACACGTGCAGCGACCCTGGGAGCAAAGGTATCCAGCGACTTGGAGCAGACAAGTATGGAAGGCTCTGGCGATGATTGGATGGCCGAGGTGAGGCAGCGAGTGGCCCAGTATGGGGATGATTTACCCATGGAGGTACGCCGGGTGATATGGAACCAGGTCACGGCCGAGCGAAACACAAGGCTGGCCCGAGAATTCCGGCTGGCGAAAGAGAGAGAGTATGCTCAGCGGAAGGAGTGTTACAGCAGCCAAGTAGAGGCTGCATCCGAGGAGGCTAGCCGTCTCCCCCTGAGGCGGCCGCAGGAACCCGAAGTAGGGGTCCTCATAGACTGGTCCTGTCAGGAACCACAACAGGCAGGTGGAGATGGGACCGGCCCAGATCCCCAGCAGCAGCCGGAGTTGCCAGGTGCGGAAGCAGGTGGTCCTTACTCGCAAATGTTGAGGGACCTCACAGACTGGTCCTGGGAAGACCCACAGATGGTAGGTGGAGATGGGACGGCGGTCTCTCTACCGGCCCTACAGGGATGCTGGGCGGTCGGCCCAGATCTCCAGCGGCAGTATGTACCCCAGGGAGCTGAAGGTGCAGTCCTTCCTCCCCAGCGGCAGTGTGCACCCCAGGGAGCTGAAGGTGCAGTCCTTCCTCCCCAGCGGCAGTGTGTACCCCAGGGAGCTGAAGGTGCAGTCCTTCCTCCCCAGTGGCAGTGTGTACCCCAGGGAGCTGAAGGTGCAGTCCTTCCTCCCCAGCGGCAGTGTGTACCCCAGGGAGCTGAAGGTGCCGTCCTTCCTCCCCAGCGGCAGAGTGTCCTGCAGGGAGCAGAGACCGTCAGTCACGCACCCCAACCACAGGACAAAATAATGAAAGGGGAGACAGCTGGTCCTCCTCTCCAGCAGCAGAGAGAGTGTCAGGGAGAGGAGCTTGATACCCCCTCTCCCCAGCGGCAGTTTACAGTTCAGAGAGAGGAGCTTGTTACACCCTCTCTCCAGCGGCAGCCTAACCCAGCGAGGGGAGATGTTACACCCCCCAACAGTGCAGATGGGACTGTAGTCTCTGCACTTGCAGCAGAAGGGATAGGGACAGTCGGTCCTGTTCCCCAGCCACAGAGCGGTGTATCCAGAGGGGAGACAGTCGGTCTCTCCCTCCCACAACCAGGCTCCCACCAGGCTACTTCCGTGGTAGCACTTGCATCAGGGCAGAGTACCGCTGGTCTCTGCCCACTCAGCAACCCACCAAGGCAGCCTAACAGTTGCCCACACAGTCGTGGTGAGGCACCTGGACATGGACAAAGTTCTCCTCTACCCAGGTGTAGTAACCAGTTATTGTGGGTGGGCTGTACTACTGTTTCTGTTTTGTGGGTGGGTTGCTGGACTAACCAGGGCACTGACCGGCAGGAGGTCAGATACCCTGTTAGTCTAGTTGGTAAAGGGGAGAAGTGTGGCGAAACCAACCTCGCCACTGTGAACTGGAGAAGCCTGGTTGCTCGCCTGCTTCCTTTGGACTATGGCCCTGCAGGTTAAACCGTTTATTTCCCCTGCAGAAAGGCTTATTTGTGTGATCTGAGTGCCATTCATCTAATAATGTGCACTCAGATCCCAGCTATCTGGGGATATGTGAAATGTCTGTGTGTTATGTGTAAAAGGTGACTTTATGTATTTTAAAGTGTTTTGTGTCTTTTTGCAACCATGTGCTTAATGGAGTCTTGTGTCTGTCCTGGGAGATAATTGAATTACTCTCCAGGATAGAAGACTCTGAAACTGGTTTGGGCCAGAAAGCCATGCTTCATTTAGTCACAAAGGACTTTCCCTTAACTTTTGAACCCCTGGTCTGATTCGTGCCATTTTTTAATATGTTGTTCCCCTGAATGGATTGATTGTGAATATGTAATTTTATGTGAATGTGATGTATGGTTTTAGAGTTATGAAAGTTGGGTAGAAAGTATGTTTTTAACTGTATGTGTAATTGAGTTTCCTCTCAGGATAAGGGGAGGGAATATGTGGGATGTAACTGTGATGTGATTGGTTGTTTTGTAACGCCCTGTGGGCTGTACTATGTTTGTGGATTGGGAATAAAAGAGACTGTATGTGAGAGTACAGGGAGTTCCTGTTTTAACCCTCAGAGTGAAGTGTCGTCTCATTGTTGGGGGAAAGATTTATTGTATGCTGTTCCAGTTTGACTGCTAGGAGAGTAGACCTATTTGTATGGTTCCTATTCAACTGTCTACAGCATTCATATGCTTGGGAGAATTTATTTGTTTCTCCGGTTCGGTGGTTTTGGTGTCTGCTGCAGTGCTTGGAGTCCTCAGGAAGTGCTAGGAGCATCCTTCAACGGAGGTACCCAGTCAGGGTGCCAGGCGATCCGTTACAACTACCAATTAAAGGATGGAAGCTTTAATAACCTCAGGAAGTGCTAGGAGCATCCTTCAACGGAGGTACCCAGTCAGGGTGCCAGGCGATCCGTTACAACTACCAATTAAAGGATGGAAGCTTTAATAACCAATTCCAAAGAAACAAGTTATATGTGAGTACCGGCTTAAAAAAAATGGAGAGTAAAGGAACTAAAACCTGAACACACTGGTAGCATCAATAGAGTTTGGGCTATTAAGAGTTCGTGGAATGACGTTCCCCTAAAAATCCTCATCTGTGCTGTTTCAAGTAATGTAAATAATGTTGTATGCCTTATAGTATGTTTATATTTATGTTATTCTGTGATGAGCTTGTGCCCTAGATATATGAGTTTTGTACTGAAAAACTAATAAAGAAAATAAATAAATAAAAAAATAAAAAATGATGATATATAATCCTCCATGACAGATTTTCAGCTCACGAAAACTTTGTATTTTCATTACCTAGCAACTACAATGCTGCCGCCCACCCTATGGGTTCCCTATTAAGGGTTAATAAGTATATAGGGGTTTAGAAAAATACCCCTCTCTGTCTCATGAGAGATTTCTTTGCCTGAAGCTGAAGGAAGCAAGGTGAATTGTTAGTGTAGGACCCATCTAAGAGGTTTGCCTTGACGTGATAGGTGGGCTTCCATCTAATGGCCATTGGAGAAACTAAATAACCTCCATTTATTTAAATATGCATAGGGATTTGGGAGGTGCGCAGGTAAACTTTCTTTTCTTTGGTTTTTACTTAATTTATTGGGGATGGTGTGTACTATGGTTGTTTCTGTCACCCAAGAGTAGGGGGAGTTTGAGGGCAGGACTTATTTGGCTTGCTGACGTGCAGACGTAAGGGCATCACACACATTGTGAGAAGGGGAACAAGCCAGGAAGCAAGACGTGGTGTGAGACATTGCCAGATGCCTCAGAGCGACAAAGACAAATAACTGTCACTTGAGCAAAGGTATGGAGGAGTACCGAAGCCATTGACGGGATTCATCTGGTGGGAAACGAGCCAGCTCTGTGGACGAATTGCTGGGGAGCCAGGAACGGCGTGTGCTATGCTGAAACTCCAAAAAGGACGCCATATAGCAGCATAGTGGTATGACAAAGTGCCAGCTGCTTCAACAGAAAAGGCAAGAATCGAGGTTAACTACCAGAAGACACCAAATAACAGATTAGCTTAATTTTTGTTTTGTTTACCTTTTCTGCCTTTGTATACTTAATATTTTTATTAACACCTGGTGTAAACTCTATTCTCCTACTAATAAAATATTAAGGCAAATTAGCATTATAGCTACAAAAAAGATTTCCCAAAAGCAAAAATTAACATCTAAGAAAGAAAGGAAAAATACAAAACAAGATAGAAGCCACTCCACTTACTTCTCTCCACACACTAAAGAGTTAAAAGATAGAGAATCATTATCTAACTCTGACATATCATTACTGGAAACAAGCAAAGACAATTTACAATTAAAGTTCTTAATTCAAGTTTACAAATTCTACTTGAAGAAATAAAAGAAAATCTATCTAACTCATCAGAGTTGAAACAAGAAATTAAAAATGATTTGTGTTAGGGGCATAAAGGCCCTTTCAAGAGTAACAAAGTGTAGCATAGTGCAAGAAGAGAAAAGTCGGTTGTGGTGTACCAGAACCGACGTAGCGGTAGGCCTGTAAATAAAAAGGGCAAAAATAGATACAGGCTAGAATTTGTTACAATCAACAAAAGGAAGTGTATAATTACATGAACATAGTATTAAATGCATGTCGGAGTTCTTGTACCGGTTGTGGTATGTACAGGGAGTATGCTGAGGACTTCCAACGACCTAGTGTATTGATTATATGTACAGGTATGTTCTTGCTTGAGGCCATGGAAGCCACCCCTATTCCAAAAGAGTGGACGGAATAGTCGGATGGGTTGAGACCTAGCCTCGTGATCAATGATCTGAAGTGAGTCATGAATTCTGATGTAGTTAGGACCGACCCATGTAAAGAGAACAGTGGTTAGGAGGCTTGGATACTAACAGTAAGTAAATAGGAATCTAGGACTTTAACCGGGCACCATTTATTATGTGTAGGGTAATAAGGAATGCGAACGTCTTGTCCATCCTGGGTTGTTTTACTGTGTGGAAGGGTAAGTACAGTACATAATATAGTTTAGTTAGGTGAGACCTCCTGAGACAATATTGTAAGTTGGTCGTGGTAGTTGTGATAAATTCTCGGGTCTAAGAAAACCATAGAAAGCCAGCTAGATTGCAGTTTTAATTACTGGGTTGGTGCGTGGATCAAAGGGACAAGCATCTAATAGGTCTGAAATAGAATTAAATAGTTGGATATCGATAGGTAATCTATGTGTTGGAGCGTGGCCGGATTTCTGAATGCCTCTGAGTATGGATTTGATCTAGTATGAAGACATGAAGCTGTGTTTGTTTGGAAATATATTCAACATGTGATGCTGTATACCTGATAGGTATAATTTGATGGTACTATGGGATAATGCCAGTTTGAGGTGGCAAAAAGAAGCAAAACCTGCCACAGTTGATATAGCAAGAGAGTCAGTAATGTCATATTCTAATAAAAACCTCTTAACCCCCTAAGGACCAAACTTCTGGAATAAAAGGGAATCATGACATGTCAGACATGTCATGTGTCCTTAAGGGGTTAAACAAGGAGAAATCCCTGTCATATGTTCTGCGTGTTAGAGGAAAGAGACCGTCGGGAAAGATCACGGCCATGAGATAAGGCGGTCAATCCACGATCAGCTCTTGAAATGTATGGGTGGCAGTGGCTATGGGAAAGGCTGTAGGCAGAGCTGTGTGGAAGGCCTTAAATTGCAATCGAGACAGTCTGTAAGCAGCAATATTCGTAACACCTGGTACATGAATACAGATCAGAAAGAAATGACGACTAGCCGCCAACTATGTCAATTTCCTAAGGAACCTCATAATAACAAGGGATGAAGAACGCTCCTTCTTAATGATGTGGCACGTGGCCTGGTTGTACAAGAAACAGCGAACCGAACCACATGACCACATCCGACCCCAAGCCACAGCAGCCGCCACAATCGGGTAAATTTCAAAAAGAGCGGAGGTAGTGGAAAAACCCTCAATGCCCAGGACTTCCGCTGGCCAAGCACTCCAAAGCCATTCAGAACCGTAAATGGCTGAGAAGCCGGTAGTGGCCGCTGCATCCGTCCATAGCGTGGATAATTCTTCCGAAATTTCGGGAAGGAACATACTTTTCCTGTTCCAGGAGAGCAAGAACCTTCGCCACATGAGCAGATCCGCTGTGACCTGGTCGTCATCGTGAGGAAGATCGGGAAACAGGGATTGTAACTGAGATATAAATGCCCGACCCCAATGAATAATCCTCATAGTAAAATTCAAGTACCCCAACATAGATTGTAATTCCTTCCGACAGCAGGACCTGGAGTGAATAAAACAATCAATGCATGAGTATATGAACTATCTTTTCTTTGGGCAGACTGGCCTGCATGGTAATGGAGGTATCTGGACTGTTTTTTTTGGGTGACACTGGTACACCCAATAACTGGAAAAGGGCAACGACTTCCTCAAGACTACAGGGGGGAAATGTGTTCTCCTCAATCATAAGTCATCCAGGTAGTGGATGTCGAACAGTTTTGGGCCACTTTTGAAACCAAAAGTTAGCCAGGGGAGAAAAAGTAATATAGGCCCTTACATTTAACACCGTGCAAATGCCAGAGAGTAGGGTAACAGTTTAAAAGCATTGACAATATCCATTTTACTAAGCCAAGCGCCAACCCCAGATTTTAGGATGGCCGAAACAGCATGGTCAATCATTGAATATTGCAGCGAAAATTCCTCGGACGGAATCAGGGAATTTAAACTAGGAATTTCCACCAAATGAGGGGCGGAGAGGTCGATAACCAACCTCTGTTTCATGGAGTTCTTTCCGGTGACAATAGGGTTCATCCTCCATTAAGTGAAAGGCGGAGCCTGGAAAGGATCTAAAAGAAACCCCCCAGCGACCTCCTGTTGTATGAGAGTATCAACCGGTTCCGGGTGTGCCCAGGGCCGTCTTTAAGGAGGGGCAAACGGGGCAGCTGCCCTGGGCCCAGTTTCTCATGGGGGGCCCAAAGCAGCTGCCCCGTGGTCCCCATCGCCTGCAGTAAAAAAATTTTTTTTTTAAATATTTCCCTATCTAATGGGCCCGCGGTGCTAGTATTGCGGCTGCACCGGGGCCCGCACACTAAGGGGGCCCACCGGGTGGCCCATACCTTTAGGGCCACCCAGTGAGCATGTTCCAGCAAGGGTCCGGTCGGCGCTGTGGCCCTTTAACAGCGCGACCGGGTCCTTGCTTAACGGCTGCATGGGAGGAAGTGACGTCCGCGAATCACTTCCTCCCACCTCAAAGATATCGGGCCGCGCGGGAGGCTGCTGAGCCAGGATCCAGTGAGGAGGGGGTGCAATGAGAGCCAGACCCCCAACTCCCACCCGCCTCAGCCAGCACACGGGACCCCAGGGAAGGAAGCCTCTTTCAAAGGTAGGAAACTGAAGAGTGTATGTCTGTGTGTCAGTATGTCTGTCTGTCTGTGTGTCAGTTTGTATGTATGTGTGTGTCAGTATGTATGTCTGTGTGTGTGTCAGTATGTATGTGTCAGTCAGTATATGTCTGTGTGTCAGTTTGTTTGTCTATGTGTGTGTCAGTATGTATGTCTGTGTGTGTGTCAGTTTGTGTGTCTGTATGTCGGTGTGCCAGTCAGTATGTCTGTCACAGTGTCAGTATGTCTGTCACAGTGTCTATCTGTATGTTGTCAGTATGTGTGTATCTGCATGTGTGTCAGTGTTTGTATCTGCATTTGTCAGGTTATGTATCTGTGTGTCTGTATGTTGTCATTGTGTGTGTCTGTGTATCTGTATGTTGTCAGTGTATCTGCGTGTGTGTGCGTGTGTGCATCTGTGTGTCTGCATGTGTGCCAGGTTGTGTGTCTGTATGTGTGTCAGTGTGTGTAAATGTGTCTGTATAGCTGCATCTGTATGATTGTGTATATCTGTGTATCTGCAAGTGTTTGTGTGTGTATGTGTATCACTGTGTGTGTGTGTGTTTGTGACAGTGCATGTGTATTTGTGCATACATCTCAGCATTCAACACTACACGCAAATACACACCTGCATTCAAACTTCAACACTACATATAAACACACCTCTTTTTTTAAACAACAAAATTATATATAAACACACCAGTGTATTCATAAACCAACACTACACATAAATGCATACTTGCATTTAAATGCCATCTCCACATACAAACACACCCCTACATTCACACAAACATACTCCATACAAAAACATGCTTACACTCAAACACACAAATACTGCTCAGTGCTAAATATAACCCTGCATGCATAGGAAAATGGTAGCGCCCCAGCTGTCAAAGCATTGTTGGAGTTGCATGACAGATGGGGATCTACCTTTTGCCCCCTCTTGCCCAAAATAATTCATGCACCAGAGCCCTCTCTATTTTACGTCCGCCTCTGCGTTGGGGTGGGGGGCATGATTGCATGCCAGGGAGGGGACGACCGGGTTCAGGGGGCCCAAGCAAATGTTTGCCCAGGGTCCAATCCATATTAAAGATGGCCCTGGGTGTGCCAGGGCCAATTGCAGGTTTTTACACTTTAAAGATACCTGACCTGTATAATGCCTGGATGGAAACCCTCAGAAAAAAACAGATTAAAGAAATAAACCATGTGCCTGGATGGGTGAGAAGACAACATACCTGATAAGGCGGACACATTAACAGAGGTTAAGTAGGGTTTGGGATACGATTTATTGGGGCACATAGTTTTTGCATGTGCATGGAAACACTTGGAACAAACGTGCAGAAGCCTGCATGCGCTAAACTGCAGGTACCAGCATTAAAATTATTACAGACATGGGATTTCCCCAGAAAGAGTATAGGGCAACCCAATTTGTCCTTGATGACCTTGTCAAGAGAAGGGGAGGTAACAACAAGACCGGAGGAAGACTCAGCCGTATTGGGACAAAGATTTGTAGAATGAGTCATGGAGGAGCAAACAGCACCTGCAGAACAGTTCCGTGTCCAGTTTACTTCAATTCAACCTGGCACCAAACTGAGTGAATGCTGCAGACAGCTTAGCAGCGAAGGACCTATGGTAATCATAAAAAGATGTACCGCCGTATTTGTGACCCAGGTCCACCAGCTTGTGCATGTAAAGGTCCAACTCCTGCCTCCTAGCAGGGTAGACTGAGCACAAAACATCCCTAAATAGCCCAAGCTCTGGGACAGAGAGTTTCCAATTAAGCCTAGGGTGATCATGACCGACAAATCACCATAGGTATAAGTCTAATAATCTATGATATCTTGAGGCAATGAGGAGCAAAACCAGGTTCACGTCCTTGCCATCCAAGATATCCTTCCTAATATTAGCCGGGACCATGTGAGCTGGATCGACATCCAGTGGAGTATCAATGCTAGACAGATTACCCAGGCCAGCCACAGGAGGTTCCGCCGGAACAGGAGCGGAAAGACTGGCCGGCGACTCAGCCCAAGTGGTAGTTTCCAGCTTCTTCAACCTCTGATTGATCTGCCCCATAGATGCCACAAGAGAAGACAACATGGAGTGAACATCAGAGGAAATAGCAACAAGCAAAACGAGAACCACGTGTATGCAAACACGGCTTGCACGGCCGACTACAAGCAACAGGAACATGTGAAAAACTCCCGAATTGCGAGACACGTTCGGGAGGTTGCGAACAACACGTGAGAGAAAAAAAAAAACGAACAGGTTCAAATACAGTGCTGAGAACAGACCCAAACCATGATGACACCGAGGGACCTAGACCATGGTGCGACAGTAGGGTAAGTATCTTACGGTTCAGAGGAGACATCAGATCGTATAGCCAAGGCTTGTTGCGCCAGGGACGATAGGAGAGCTGGAACAGAACCCAGAACAGCCACGGGCAAGCGAACAGCGGGGTAATGGCAGGCCAGGTAACGAAAGCCACGAGAACCAGGTGAGAGAGGAAATGCGACCGGAACCAGCGACATGCAAACGCTAAGGCACGAACAAGACAGAGGGAGGTGAGTAGTGGGTTTAAATAGGGGACCATGCCCCTCTCGCAACTGCAGGCCAAGCCTTCACATATAACAAAACTGACAAATAAGCACCAAGTGATGGAAGATTTGATGGGAAATATGTATTTTCAAATAAGATCTATAAAAGATAAATCAACAAGAATGTCTACAAAAATAGCTTATCTGGAAAATAAAAAATGACCTTGAAGACCGTACACGCAGGAAAAAAAATCTAAGTTTAGAAACTTTATAGACACTGGCAAACAAGAACATCTGAGACAACGGCTACAAGATTATTTTAAAACGCTGGGACTCACTCTAAACGGTTATGATGAAACAATTGACAGGTGCCACAGGTTAAGTAAACCTTCAAATGTTGCATCTGAAGCACCCAGAGATATTATCGCTTGCTTCCATTCCTTGTTTTGAAAGCAAATAGAGTTAAATAAATAAAAGAAGGGCCATACTCTAATATACTTCCAGATCTATCTAACAATACAAGAATTAAAAGAAGAATGTTTGCGCCAGAAATTAATATCCTCAAAAAACACAACATAAGATTCAAATGGAGTTTTCCCATCCAAGATGATCATCGTTTCTGAAGGCAGAATTGATACCTTTGATCACCCAGAGAAAATGAAAGAGTGGCTAGCAAACAAAAAATTAAGTTGAAGACCTACAAGAAAATTACTCGATACAGAGGCGACTCAGACTAATATATTTATAAAGTACTATTTTTTTTTTTAATTCACAGGATAACAGACTCTTAAATTACTTTTTTTCTCTCCTTCACTTCTCCTTTGTTGTTTTATTATTCACAAGATCACAGAGTACAAATGTGGGTGATTATGGTATAATGTTAAGGGATAATTTATACTCCAAAACAAAATAATACTTGCATGTTTATAGCAGAATGTGTCACTCTATGATAGAAACATACAAATTAGATTTGAAATGTAATAAATTTAACGATTTATGATCACGTTAATATAATGTTGTTTAATAGATAGAGGCTTAATATGAGTGTTTGATAAATTAATGCTACTCTAATAAAGCTACTATCTTAAACACCATAGGTTCTAATTTCACAAAAGAATATTCAATATATATATAATATATATAAATATTATAAATGTAATAATGTAATAAAAATGTAATATGTTCACTGTGAAAAGTTCACTTATTAGAAAACACGCTAGAAGCTAATTGAGATTTGAAACATGATATGATTGAAGGCAGTTTATATTATTACATCCTGAAGCATTTTACTGCAATATAATGCTACTAGTTGATTTATTAACGGACTGTTTTTTGTTCTTTGTTTTATAATTTTTTCCTATTGAATACGAATGTGGATAATTAAGGTAGAATGCTAAGGGTTGAGGAATGAAACATATACACATTTTTACAGTCTAAATGAATCACTTTATGATAAAAAAAAAAAAAAGGTACAAATGAGTTTATCTGTGATGAAATAAGTTTATTACTTCAATATATCACAACTTATGTTCACTCCAATATAATTCTATCAATTGATAATAGGGTGAATATGAATGCTCGGTCAAATTATCGCTACATGGACTAAACCATCATCTGGAGCACTACATATATAAATTTCATAAAATCAAATGTAATATATAATACTGTGAGGAATTTAGTAATATCTCAATTATAAATTACATTAGCCATCACTTATTAGAATTTATATGCTGGAGACGAAAAAAGGATTAAGAAATTATGAGATTGAAGGTTGTTTCTCACATGTTGTATCATGCTATACAATTCTAATTTAAGGCTACTGGACTATGCATTAATTAGGTGATATATATATATATATATATATATATATTTTATATATATATAATATAACGATAACTGGAAATGCGATATCCACATTCCGATTTCCTGACTCTCACCCCTCCATCTGTGAATTTTTCACAGGTATCCCGAATTTCTCTTTAAGTGAAGATTTAGGGAACCCATGGCTTTTAGACTATGGGCAATTTTAATGTTGGTGAAATGTCTGTATTTTACCACTTGTTGTTTATGTTTGTTGAATGTATGCACGGTTTAAAATGTATGGTCAACCTAAATTTGGCAGTTTGTAAGACTCAATTTAGAACTAGAAATATGTACAAGATTATAATCTTTGATGTTGAGATTGATGTCAATTAATGTACAGGGTCTGAATACAAAATGGAAGAAAAAGAGGTTATATGACTTACCAATAATGGGATTCAAATCGGTTTTATCCAAAAAACTCACTGGAAAAAAATTGAACCTGGGGGGGTAATGGGTATGAATCAGTTTTTCAAGCCTCTCTTAATAAAAAAATACGTGGAATCACGATCATTTTTGATAATCTAAAGCTAGAAATAATCTATCAGGATTGTGACCCTTCAGGCAGATTTTTAACCCCTTAGGGACACACGATGTAAATATTCCGTCGTGATTCCCTTTTATTCCAGAAGTGGTGTCCTTAAGGGGTTAATAATGGTCTGTAAAATAGAGGACGTTATATACGCTTGCAAATGTTTACTACCCAACGTTAATCTGACATTATTATTTTCTAAGATTATGAAAAGAATAGAAACTAACTACAAAGTAGTAATGAGAGGTTATTTTATTAATATCGATAAACAAGCCATAAAAATAAGAGAAAAATATCTTACCGATTTAAATATCCTATATTCTAAGTTATCCAAGTTGAACAAAATGCAATCCTCCAGACAACTTATGTTAAGGCTCTCAAAACTGCAAATTAAAATTAATTTAAAAATAGAAGGAAAGACCAAAAAAAACCCCTCTTAATAAAATGTAATTAAAGAATTACTACCGGGTTAATAGAGCCAATAAAAATTTAACAAAAAAAAAAAAATTAAAGATACACAACATGAAAAATAGGATAAATTAACTGATTGATAACCAAACTACATATTCCTCTACTGAACAAATTGGCAAAAAAATTATGATTTCTATAGTAATTTATACAACCTTGGTCTTAATCCAGAAAAAGATAAAATAATTATGTATCTAATACTCAAACTCCAAAAATCTCTAACTCAGATTTAGAATTACTTAACTTTGGGGGGGCGGGGCCTGCCCGCTGAGCTGGATGGACGTGGGCCGCCTCGGCTCCACAATGAAAGATCATTAATCAGCCCAAAACTACTCTATCTACCCTAAAAACAATCGGCAACTATGAGAAGGCAATGGGGACCAGAGCCACAACACTTGGGGCGGCTGTCGGCCCTCTCCCTACCGGCAAAGCTGACTGCTGGGCAGATGGGATTGCGGCCTGTCGTGAGGCTCTGGCGGGAGAAACGGCCGATCTCCCGTGCTTAGTCTGGGGGGTCCTCCTGCACGCCTGAGGGCCTAGTTCTCCCCCCTGTGGGCCGGTGGGGTTATTCCAGACCCCACCGGGAAGGCGGTGATTCTTTTTGGCAAACCGTGTGGTGAAAAGACCTTTCAGGGACCGCGTGGAATAACCAAAAATGGCCGCTGCGTCAAGTGTAAGCCGGAGCACAGAGGCAGCAACAGTAGAGCAACGGCTGGGTGCTGTCTGGAAACAGAGGCAGACCGGAAAGCTACACACTGACAGCGGCTAGCGGAGAACCCTCTCCGCCCATCAGACAACCCTGAAGGGTGCACATTCATCAAGTAAACATGGCTAATAATCGTATTACCTGAGGCAACATTTCCTTTGCGGCTGACGGATCTGTGGGGACTATACTGAGACTCTGACCCTGCATAAACATGGAGGAATAACGGACACTGGACACAAGCCTCATTTTCTACCTGAGACTGATACCAGCAGACACAAGTCCAAATAAACTGCTGGCCAACAAGTACCTCAGCTTTTCAGCAATCAACATGGAACATGAGGAACTTGACTACAGCTAGGTCACCAGCTGACCCAGCACTGCTGCAGGAGTACTTAAGCGGCTGCTACTCATATATAACTAGAATCCTAGCAGAGCACTAGATACCCTTTATGTTAACATGTCACTCTCAGTATTATTTTGAGGTTAAGGTTGATTTTGTTTCTGCAGATCCACACGGCAAAAATTTGGAAATCACTTAACAAAGACTGAGCACACATATACTTTAGCCGGCTGACCCAGCGACTCACTGCCCCCTGGTGGTTATCTTCAATCAGCTAGAGAAACCTGTATCTGATATTATTTTGCATAAGCCTGTAACTAAATAATCATACAACCACTGCTCAACTAAGCATGCATAGCATAGCTGTAAAAGTATTACTCATTAGCACTAAGCTTGTTACATTGTTTTAGTCTGCATGATATATCATTTTAAAATGTGCAACGCATGCAAATGCCATAACCCTGTACATCTTGTTATCTCTGTTTGCTGCAGCTGTTGTGGTGCATCAAGCAATGTTATCTCTTTGCACGCAATAAATAAAGAATAAAAAAAAATAATTATTTAACTTTGAGTTTCAACCTGAAGAAATCAAAAGAGAAATAATAGATAAAAAAAATAGATTAGAATTACTTAAAACACCAGGCTTGGATGGATATAGTAATTATTTTTATAAAATTGTGAAAAAAGAAATCATCTTTCCTTTAACTGCTTTGTATAACGAGATGCCCAGTGGAGCCAAGACTCCAAACAAATTATTACAAGCCAATCTCCTTCCTATATGGAAGCCAAATAAAATCGAAACAAGTGTTAGTAACTATAGACCCATCTCATTGATCAAATATAGATATGAAAATATATGCCTCAATTCCGGCATCCAGATTAAAACCAATAATTGATAAAATGATCCATCTGGACCAAGTAGGTTTTATTCCAGGCATATCCTCAGATAGCTGTACCACAAGAATTCTGGATAAACTAGAACAAGCAGAACACTTGGAGATCCATCTGCTGACCCAGTCATTGGATTCGGAGAAAGCCTTTGGCAGGGTCAGCTGGAGTTTTTTAGACTTAGTATTAAAATCCTTTGGGTTTGAGGGCTGGATTCACAGCGCCATTAAGGCCTTATATTCAGAACCTATGGCAAGAAAAGTTGGTGTAAATACCTCAGTTAATTGGTTTAAGTTACAAAATGGTACAAGGCAAGGGTGTCTCCTATCCCCTCTCATTTATGTTCTAACGATAGAACCTTTAGCAATTAACATTAGAGCTAACGTTAACATTAAAGGATTCCCAGTTAAAAAATTAGAAGCAAAAACATTGCTTTATGCTGACGATATGTTATTAACACTCACATCAGCAGAATCGTCTCTCCCTTATCTAATACAAGAAATACATTGAAGTGTCTAATTATAAACTAAATGTCTCTAAATCAATTGCCTTAATTAGTAACATACATATCGATCTCATTAAAGATCTTAAAGCAAAATTTAACTTCACTTGGACAATAAAAGATTTCAATTATTTAGGTGTGATAATTCCATCACAAATCAAGAATACTATGGTAATAAATGTACTAAGTCTTCAAAAATACACTAACAAAGTTAAAAGAATGGCAAAAACAAGAATCCTCTTGGTCAGGTAGAATCAATACAATAAATGCATATATCATGCCAAAATGGTCATATTTATTTAGAATGTTGCCCCAGAAACTTGGTTAAAAATCATCCAATTCAGCTTTCAGACTTGTATTTGGAGAGGAAAGAAGCCTAGAATTAGCTCCAAAGTTCTGTCGAGGAAATATCAGCCGTTTGACAAAGCCCTGTGGGTGGGGCGAAATGCATTACGAACCCGGAACCAGGAAGTGATTTGGAGACAGTCGGCAACAGCAGCCAGGATAGCAGCCGGAAGATTTTTTTACATTACATGAGTATATGGAACTTTCTTTGCGGTTTCCTGAGGCTGGTGAGCGGACTAACTAACTCCACAACAAGTTTTGCTGTTTTTTAATTGTTATTAATAAAGTATACTTACCTGAGATCCGGATTGCAAGCTTCCTTGCCACGGATCCCACGCACTCTAGGGGCTGATCCTCCCTGAGTGCTATAGCAACGAGTGGTGCTTTTACCACTCCAATCTTGTGAGTGTAACATCTAAAGGGCACCTCTGTTTGCATTATTTTATATATTTATAAGTTAATTACTACGCTGCACTAGGAGCTCTCTTTCTGTTTTTGTCTACTTAATAGGTGTCAGAGTGATTTCCATGTTTGCAAGTATACCTACAGATTGTGCTTTGTTTTACCACAACCACTGTTGTTTTAAATTATTTATAATATTTCCACTCTGTAAACACCTCATTTTATGTACACAGCGTTACTTTCACTCTCTATAAGAGGTCCATAGTGAATACGATTTTTTTTGTTGTTGCGCACCATCACTACTGTAAACTCTCTTAAAAGACCACTATAGGCACCCAGACCACTTCAGCTCAATGAAGTGGTTTGGGTGCCAGGTCCATCTAGGGTTAACCCTGCAGCTGTAAACATAGCAGTTTCAGAGAAACTGTTATGTTTATATCAGGGTTAATCCAGCCTCTAGTGGCTGTCTCACTGATATGACTATATTAACACTAGAGTTGAGTTTCTTTTCCTGGCACTACAGTGGTCCTTTAACATGTAACTGTGTCTTAAAGAGGCTAGAAAAAGTAACCACGTGTAGATAAACTACAGCTATTTGATCCGAAACATGTGTGAAATTCAAACCTTAAAAATAACCTTATTGTCATGTCTGTCTTTAAGAGGGGGGAAAAAAGTCACTATTTGCAACAAATCTTGACAGTTTCCCATAAGTTGCTAGAAGACCATATCTCCATTTCTATACTTTATTCTTGTTTCAAATAGTGACTTTTTTTGCATCACATAGAGGTAGTTTATCTGCATATAGTTACCAATTGATTTGCACTACACTCTGTATTTTATGGTTTATTGTTTTGAACACAAATGAAAGTATTATTTATTTAAGCGCACCCCTATTTTTATTTTATTACTTGACTGCTTGGGGAAGTGCTGGTTTTAAGGAGTTTTTGCAGCTATACTTGTTTTATTCATTCACTTTCACGTTTGTTCTTTATTTACTATATAGGATTATTTTAGTTATGTAGACATCTCCATGAGGTGAGATTGCTTCCATTTGGTATATCATATGGGTTTCCCACCAAGACCCTGTCCTCACGAGGTTGCGCTGTTCCAGATTGTTTTCCCATGGGTAAATTCAAACGATTACATTAACAACCCACATTTACCTAGCTACAGAACATGAAATCCTTAAACTTTCGGCAACACTCCCAAACACTTCACACAATGCGGCTCTGTGGAAAGATCATTAACATAAAAGCCCATAGAGAGTCTCTGTAGATGCTGCATTGAGCCTCTATTTACGGACACAGCATATTTAGAATTACAATATTCAGGAGGAGGATCTAGTGTATTTGGGTGGGGTCTATAATTAAATAAGGAACCCTACTAGTAGTATGCTCATCACCTCCCCACGGGTACCTAGAAGTCTCCAAACTCCTAATCAAATTTTTTTTTAAAGTTCCTACATAATCCCCTCATAATAATAGGGAGGGGTGGGGTAATAAATGTAATACCTGTTTTTTGTTTTTTTTCAATGTATCCTTTACCATCAGAAGTATCTTTCTAAATGTTTTGTACTTCAGCCCCAAAAAAGGCCAAATAAAAGCCCATAATTCCTGGTTCAACTAATGAAAAAAAAAAAAAACAACAAAAAAAACAAATAAGGGAAAAATAAATAAAAGCCGTAAAAAAAGCTAAATTTCCACAATAAAATAATCGAGAGCCATGGAGGACTTCATTAAGAGGCTTTGTCAGCGATTGCAAAGCCAACCAGAGCGCTCTGACTAATATTGCAAAGAGTGGGACATTTTCCCACGCTTCGCAATAGCTGACATAGCATGGGAAAGCCTACATAAGAGCTTTCCCCACTATGAGAGCTCAGTCTGCCCAGAGCCCTCCATGAGTGAAGAATTAATTTTGTTGTGGTGTGTTTTCCACTTTTTTTTTTTTATAAGTTGCAATAAAACAAAATATATCAATTTATTGTCCCCCACCCAATTGTGTTTAGGGAACCAGGAGTGGACATTCCCATTAATGCACCCACCCAATGCCCATAAGTGGGGCTGGGAGAAATAAGATTCTCCCTTCTGAATATAATAAGGGACTCCATCCTGTTATCTCTCTATATTAGGAATATATTTCCAGTTTAGCAATTTTGGCCTTAAATGATAAATTCATTTTGACTTCCCAACAATAATCAGGATAGACATAGTTTTTTGAACTGACCATATAAACTCAAGGTTCATTTACTTCTCATGTAGGCGGTGTGTTCAACAGGACAGTGAACATTTGCCCACCCAGCTACAGAATCATATAACAAAGAACAACTGTTCCCTCAAGACTATATTTTAAAAATAATAATCCTATTTTGAAAGGAAATAGATTTTTTGTTAATGAAGTACATATAAAAAAATTTGAGAAACTCATATATACTTTTAGTCTATGACAGGATCCTTATACATAGCCATATACATGCCCCTATCCTAAATGAGTGTCCAGAATATTTGTTGGCGTTCAAGCAGAGTCGTGTCAACAATAGGCGCACATACACCATGAACTTAGAAGTGGTGAGGATAGCCCCGTGAAGTGACAGGAGAGGGAGTGAAGCGTGAGTAGGTACGGAAAGTAAGTAGGCATCGAAAACTTTTACTGGGCACCATAAATTGTCGGTGGGGTAGTATGGGATATGAACGGGCTGACCCATCTGACTAGTTTTGGTCGTTGGTAGGCTCAGAATGTAATGGTCTTGCCGTTTGTTGAGGTATGAGGTGCAAAGGCAACCTTGACCATTATGTTGGCCCCTAGTAGTGAATTCTCGTGGTCTGAGAAAGCCAAGTATATGGCTGTTTTGATGACAGTGTTAGTAAGAGGTTCGAATGGTGCTATATCCAGTAAGTCTGACATATGCTTGAACAATTCCATATCAATTGGTAATCTACGTTGTGGGGTACGACCGTTGGCCTTGGATATACCCTTAAGTATGGTCTTGCTGGGGTAGGCTGTGAGGAAGCATGGATTGTTGGGAAAAGCTGAGAACATGTGGTGTTGGATGCCTGTCAGATATAACTTAATGGTGTTATGTGATAGCTTCAACTTGAGGTGGAAAAAAGTGGAGAAAGGCACCAAGGTTGTTATGTCGAACCAGGTAGCCAGGTGGTGTCCTGTCATGAACCTGTGATACAAGAAAAACACAGTCATACGCGCTATGCTTGTTTTTGGATAGGACAAGTTTTATCAAAACTTTGCTATGGTGTAGTAAATAGTCTAATCCATAATTAGATCTTGGAGTCGAGGGGCAGTCGTGGCCAGTAATGAAGCGGTAGGTAGGGACCATCTGAAATTGGAAACGAGATAACCAGTCAGCAGCAGTGTTAAAAATGGTAGCATACCAGGTAAAACTGGTGACAGGCCAACCACGTCAGTCTCCTAATAAACCTCATTATCACTAAGGAGGATAAGCGGCCTTTGTTGATCAGATTGCCAAGTTGTCTGAAAAGCATCGCACGGGTTTCCCTGCCCATAAATGGCCCCATGTCACTGCTGCTGCTACTATAGGATAAACCTCAAACAGTGCTGAGTCCTCTATGTGTCGCACTTCCTGTGGTCAACTACCCAAAAAGCCATTCGTTTCTAAAATATGGCCGCAAAATCAGTGGATGCTGTCCCGTCCGTCGAAATAGTAGGGGAGTCTATGGATACTTGTGGGAGGAACATGCTTCTCCTGTTCCAATTTGAGAGAAAAATGTTCCACATATGGAGGTTTGCAGTGGCCTGATAGTCAAGGGAGATACGGCTGTTATCATAGGGGAATGTGGGGAGAAGGCTCAGGAGTCTGGAAATTAATGCTCTGCTTTGTGGGATAATACGCATAGCGAAATTTAGTGAGCCAATCAGTGATTGCAGTTCTTTCCTTTTACATGAGTATGTTTGTAAATACACTGCTCAAAAAAATACACAAAAATAACATCCTAGATCTGAATGAATTAAATATTCTTCTGAAAGACTTTGTTCTTTACATAGTTGAATGTGCTGACGACAAAATCACAAAAATTAAAAAATAGAAATCAAATTTTTCAACCCATGGATGTCTGGATTTGGAGTCACACTCAAGATTAAAGTGGGAAAACACTACAGGCTGATCCAACTTTGATGTAATGTCCTTAAAACAAGTCAAAATGAGGCTCAGTAGTGTGTGTGGCCTCCCTACAACGCCTGTGCATGCTCCTGATGAGGTGGCAGATGGTCTCCTGAGGGATCTCCTCCCAGACCTGAACTAGAGAATCTACCAACTCCTGGACAGTCTGTGGTGCAACGAGACGTTGGTGGATGGAGTGAGAGGTCCCAGATGTGCTCAATTGGATTCAGGTCCGGGGAACGGGCGGGCCAGTCCATAGCATCAATGCCTTCCTCTTGCAGGAACTGCTGACACACTCCAGCCACATGAGGTCTAGCATTGTCTTGCATTAGGAGGAACCCAGGGCCAACCGCACCAGCATATGGTCTCACAAGGGGTCTGAGGATCTCATCTCGGTGCCAAATGGCAGGCTACCTCTGGCGAGCACATGGAGGGCTGTGCGGCCCCCCAAAGAAATGCCACCCCACACCATTACTGACCCACTGCCAAACCGGTCATGCTGGAGGATGTTGCAGGCAGCAGAACGTTCTCCACGGCGTCTCCAGACTGTCATGTCTGTCACATGTGCTCAGTGTGAACCTGCTTTCATCTGTCAAGAGCACAGGGCGCCACTGGCGAATTCTCTGGCAAATGCCAAACGTCCTGCACAGTGTTTGGCTGTAAGCACAACCCCCGCCTGTGGACGTCAGGCCCTCATACCACCCTCATGGAGTCTGTTTCTGACCATTTGAGCAGACACATGCACATTTGTGGCCTGCTGGAGGTCATTTTGCAGGGCTCTGGCAGGGCTCCTCCTGTTCCTCCTTGAACAAAGGCAGAGGTAGAGGTCCTGCTGCTGGGTTCTTGCCCTCCTACGGCCTGTCTCCTGGTAGCGCCTCCATGCTCTGGACACTACGCTGACAGACACAGCAAACCTTCTTGCCACAGCTCGCATTGATGTGCCATCCTGGATGAGCTGCACTACCTGAGCCACTTGTGTGGGTTGTAGACTCCGTCTCATGCTACCACTAGAGTGAAAGCACCGCCAGCATTTAAAAGTGACCAAAACATCAGCCAGGACGCATAGGAACTGAGAAGTGGTCTGTGGTCACCGCCTGCAGAACCACTCCTTTATTGGGGGTGTCTTGCTAATTGCCTATAATTTCCACCTGTTGTCTATCCCATTTGCACAACAGCATGTGAAATTGATTGTCACGCAGTGTTGCTACCTAAGTGGACAGTTTGATTGACTTGGAGTTACATTGTGTTGTTTAAGTGTTCCCTTTATATACACACACACACACACCCTCTCCCCCCCCTCCTTCCAAATTTAAAAAGATTAAACGAACCTTAAACATTACGGAAGGAGTTCTCTCCTACAACATTCTTTTCACTCAACAGTCAGTCAATGACTAAATATCAAGCTTGGCACATCTGAAACAATGGCTATCTTTATTATTTTAATCTGCTGCTTAAAATTCTACATAAGTACTCTCATTAACAGACTGTCTTGCCCTTTTTGCCCTCCTAGAAGACAAATATATCCTTTGGAATTCCGTCACCCACAGCTGCATTTGCGTCATTGCATTCATGGAGTTTAGTGTCTTAGTCTGATGACCTAATTTGTTCAAATTATGAAGCTGAATGTAGCAAATAAGACATTTATTTCATTACGTGTAACAGCAGGATTAATTTCAACATTTTGAGAAAACTAAAAATAGTTTAAATCAGGGATTTTCCATATATATTTAGCAGCTGCAGGCGGCACAAAAATATTTGTCGATGTTTGTGTGTGCCTCTTCTGTTCTCAAGCTACCCCTCATTGACCTCCAAATAGCCAGGTATTATCTACATCACTGAACTTCCTTTGCAAAAACGTATGGCAAGTAACATAGGGCATTCCATTTATTACCCCTGTCCCGCACTATATTTTGGCCCAAAATTTGCAATTCCCTTGTCAACTCTGGCTTAGTGAATACATACATAATATAATGATCTCCACAGAACAAAGCTATATCATAGATACCTGTGATGCTCTAGATCAGCTCAGGACAAGTTGGCATCTTATCGGTTTTGTTAACATTTAAATTTATCCCTTTAATAGATAAATAGCCCAAATATAACTGCTATTTCACACTGTCAATAGCCAAATCTTTTTGGCCAAAAGCATGTATTTGATTTTATTTTTTGGGGAGACTAAGCAACATTCATAAGAAAACACAATTTATTCTCATTGTACCAGTCCAGAGACAAGATTGTAAAGTATCTGACATGGGGAAAAAATAAATAAAACCATCACAAGTCAACAAGTGTGCATAACTAGACGCTACAGACATTCATATACTGATCAACAAAAATAAAGAACTTTTATGACTGCTTATAAAGTTTTGTAAATACCACCAAAGGAAAGTAAAACATTGATAATTCATGTGTTATTTACCATTTTCAGGGAGGTGAATGTAACTCAAACCATACAGTTTGTCAGAGCAAAATGTTATAAAGTATTGTAGACCTTTATACAATACCCTTATTTCCGAAGCTGCTAGATTTAGATGATGGCTTCCAAATAAACCACCAAGTAAACCCACTGGGTCATAATAATAAAGTGTAATTCTAGGAAATGGTGATAGAGATAAATAGTAATCATCAGGGCAGCTTCATTGGTTTCCAAGGTACCAGCAGAACTTGGCATTTCCCCCCAGAAACTCCACTTTATAAACACACACAGGCATAAAATCTTTCAAAGAAATCAGTCGTTAAAATAATATGTAAATATATTAATATATGGACAAAAGAGAACCAGGGACTCACTTTTTCATTAAGGAAAATTAAACAGTGCTATAAAGAATGGAGATACGAATAACCACTAAAATTTACTTTCTACTTGAGCGCCTAAATTAAGAAAAATATATATACTGCTCTATATTTCTTCTAGACCATCTGAAAGGATACATTATTTAAAAAGAGGAGGCAAACCTAGATAAGCAGTTGTGGTTTTAGACAGCTATCGCCCGCACTATTATTATCATTATTATTTGGGCAGTTATTCTAACATATTTCTGCTAAAGAAGTGAGAGATAAAATAAAGATGTTGACAAGGTTCCAAATGGTATGTAATTTGGACCTCTTACTCATGGGTTATTAGGCACTGATGCAGTCAGAATGTACCCCAGCCAATAAGCATGACAGTGGGGTAGATGGTCAGAAGACCCAGTCTGTCTTGTTGTGAAATCCTTGGTTTTTAGACAATATATCTCCTAAGGACATATTTTGAGCTTAATTTCTCTCTACAGCAGATAAAAACAAAAAAGTTATAAATAAAAATATATGAGAGTCCATCACTGGACAAAGCAGCAAGTGTTGGGGGGAGACCAGGGCAACATCCAATGCTTCATGCCAAAAACAAGCACTCAATGTGAGGTGACAAAATGGCTGTACCCTCAAAGCTAGTGACATTTGTCTTTAACCTTTGAATCTATTAATCAAAAAAAGAGTCTTTATGAAGGGATTATCCAAACAGATTATCGTGTTAAACAGTCAAACAAATTCATCCTGTAAAAATGAATGAATAAATGTAGCTTTGCATTCAGTGTACTGAGACATTAAGGTACAGGAAATGTTCATCTGTACTCCGCATACAAAATAGTACTGGAAAGAGAGTAAATAATATTTACAAATGGTCTCCCTTCTCCTGAATCTAAAAAGCTCTAGAGGACAATTTAGAACACCGAGCATCTCTGTTCTTTTCCTTGAATAATGTACACTTATGGGGAAACAATCTCATCATCATTAGTCAGCTCACAGCAAAGTCTGAAGCACAACGATTCTTCCTTTAACCTTTCATTGTCCAAATGGTGCACATTCCATTCACCCACAGATCTGGGTAAGTGTCACATGAGCCTTAGGCATTTTCAATTATACCTGGTTTTAGGGCACAGTTCACAGAACTTGCCCAGAGATAAGCTTCATACTCTATCATTTATTAGAACTAGACCTTGCACCAACGCCTCGAGTGTTTTCAAACAAAATCATTTCAGGAAGTCTTCCAGCCTGGGTTGGTTAGAAGTAGAAGTGGAAGCAACTGGCCTAGAAACTTTTTTCCTTTTTGCTTTGAGAGGTAAAGGACGAATTTCTCCCAAGTTACTCTGAATGTGGACGTTAAGGTAAATATATAACACAAAGGCCAGTCATTACCGATAGATATATATTTATTTAAATATGACTTAAAGGAGCACTCTAATGAATATTACCATTGCAACTTGCTTGGGAGAGTGCGGGGGAGGGGGGAAGAGAGGTGGGTCTGGGAAGGGAGGGGGGGGAATTATCTTAATACAGATATGCAAATTACAAATGATCAACGTGTCATATGTGGACAGCGTCTCTATGTCAAACTGTTCTTAAATGATTGGATATGAAACTGAGGGATGACCTCATAGCACTCTATACAACATAACCTCTACAACGAGACCCTTTAAATCATCTTGTTTGTTTAAATGTATAATTTAAAGCAGAACGGTCATAAAAATCTTACTGTAAACTGTTTTATCTAATATAGCAGAATAACTTTTTTTTTAATTCATATATATTTAATTTTTTTTAAAGAAATATTTTGCCTACCTTTCCAATGCTTCCTTTCCTAAAAGCCATCTTAATGCATGCTGGGTCAGTAATGTAAACGGTTTTGAAAAGCAAAATTATGTGCTCATGTATGCATAAGTGTTTTAGAGAGAAGCCTACTATTTTTTAACTTCCTTTTTTTCTTTTATAGAATACTGCTATCTTGTATGTGTTAGTAGACACTGATAATGAGCTGATCATGCAATTTACAATGACAAATGCAGTTTTGGCCATGTAGAAGGCTACAAAACACGTGGCGTCATTATCTTTCTCAAGCATAACAAATGAGATAATGAAGCTCCCACTCCGGTAAACTCTACTATGAAATTGTTATCCAACAACATGGTGACAAGAGCCAATTGAAAGGATACAGGTTGGATAAACTTTGTTCTTCCCCCTAAGCCATCAAAACCAGTCCTCACCTATAAAAAAAATAAAATAAACAAATGACACAGATAAGAGGTGTTGGTAAGTCAAAGGTCAAATTCAATTCCAGAAAACAGTTTTTCTTTCTCAGCGTGTGTTCGGAGGCCATTGTTTGGCTAGTTTGAGACATCCTTCAGAGAATATACATTTAAATAAAATATTGTAGTCTGACTAAAAAGAGGATTATTGTCTATGAAATTTCTCGAGGGCTGCACCGTTCCTGTGGAACGCTCTTCCCTCCTCCGTTAGATGCTCACCCAGTCTCCACTCCTTCAAAAAAAATTGTTAAAAACCCACTTCTTCATAAAAGCGTATCAATTAAACTGTTAATAGCTCCTGACGGATTCTTCTTCTGAAACTGTCACTAGTCTAATACTATCCTTACCTTTTTGTGTCATTTTACCCCACTCCCTCTAGCATGTAAGCTCATTGAGCAGGCCCTCAACCCCTCTGTTCCTGTGTGTCCAACTTGTCTGGTTACAACTACATGTCTGTTCGTCCACCCATTGTAAAGCGCTGCGGAATTTGATGGAGCTATATAAATAACATAATAATAATAAATGTTTCATTCCTTGACAGGAGTAGACATGTACAGATTGCCCCAGTCTGAACAAAGTAAACATATTTGCCTATTGATAATAGATTCAGCAGTGCAGTTTTATTCTCTTGTGGAGCAAACACCCAAATGCTGCTAAAAGATAACAATACAAGTATTCCTTATTACAAAAGAGGATTATATAAAATAATTGAGATTAAGTAGTAATTTTAGTAGTCCTTTAAAGAAAGAGAGCATGTTAGAATAGTATTTTCGGGATAGGTATATAAAACAAAAACAAAATGGAAGAAAGGAAACAATATCTAACTGCAATATCAAGAAAGTCCACTCAAGAGTCGACTAGTGAACATGCATTACACGAAGATGCTCTAGAGCAGAAATGAAATAATCATCAAATAGTGGGATGTGACAATTTTCCAAACAGCAAACTAATGAGAGAAAGCATACGTCCAACGTCCTTCAGGCTGTGTTCAGGACATAAGTGAGGCACTACCCATGCTCAGAACAGA